TGGGCAGGGAGGAAAAATGTGCAACTATGAATGAATAGAAATCCAAAGTCTCTAAACTTTCACGAAAATAAATTTAAAAGGGGGAAAAAATGAAAACTCTGAAGAAGAAAGCTTATTCCAATTACACAGAAAGTGGTAAAACAGCTAAATATAAACAGCTATTTCCCTGGAATCAGAGTAACCTGGTCTTCAGTATTTTTTTCTAAGAATATAATTAAGTGGTCAAACCAGCACCTCTGGTCAAACCAGCATCTCAAAATCCAATTAACAGCACACAACTGATGCTTCCTTCTGTTTGTTTATTTATTTATTACCATGAAAAGCCATGGTTTGAAGGAGTCGATCAGCCACCTCCTGTGGAAACACTCCAGGTTCCTGTAGACACAATGTTCCATCTTGTCTTGCTGAACAGAATTTTTCAAGGTGAGTTGTCAGGAAATTCAAGCAAATATCAAGTAAGGAATAGGGAGATGCTTCCTCCTAGGAGCCCGGGAAGAAACAAAGAAAACATAAAAGACAAGAAGTTAGTCATTGTTCTCATTTCCAAGATCTAGATGGGAATAAGGACAATAAATGCAATGAATTAAAACTCTCAAATACATTTTTGTCATGAGTTCATAATGATACAAAAGAAAAACCAGAAATCTCTGGAGGACAGGGAGCCCTGGTAGTATAGTAGTTAAAGTGCTTGGCTGATAATGAAAAAATTAACTGTTCAAACACATTAGCCATTCAACAAGGCAAAAGATGTGGCTGTCAGCTTCTGCAAAAAAATGTACAGCCTTAGAAATCCTAGGGTAGTTTTACTGTGTCTTACAGTGTGAACATCAACAAGATGGAGAGACGGTAAGGATGGCACAAGATAGGCAGGGTTCAGATCTGTTGTTCATAAGGTAGCTATGAGTCACATTTAACTCAATGGCATATGAAAGAATTTCATGTCACCATTTTGCAACCTCCCTAATAGTATAAGAGGGAGTTCTGATGACCTTGTGGGTAGAGTTAGTACTGCTAACCCAAAGGTGGTAGGTTCAAATTCTTCAACTGCTCCACAGAAGCAATCTCTCCTGCAATTTATAGCCTCTGAATTCCCACTGAAGGATCAGCCACCAGTCAGTTCCTGAAAGATGGACAATTTCCTCTCTTACAATTTATGTTCTGACTCAACAGTAATCAGTTTAAAAAATGATGCAGAAGAGCACTCTGGTGGTATAGTTTGTAGGGTGTTGTACTACCTACCTAAAGATCTCATCTCTGGTAGTTCAAATCCACCAGTAACTCCCTGGGAGAAAAAAATGTACTTCCCTCAGAAATGTGATAGAGAGAGGCTAGATAGATAGATTGGATAGATAGATAGATAGATAGATAGATAGATAGATAGATAGATAGATAGATTCCAACTCCATGGGCAAATGATTAGTTAGGAGTGAATGATATAAACTTTGAGCATCTAATAAACTGCTAATGACACACAAAACAATCACAAACTGTGTGTTTTCTGATGAAGAACATAACATCGCCTGTGAAGTAGCCTTCCTCCCACACTATCCGAGGGTGGGAGGTGGGGGACAGGGATCAATCCTTAGGCAGATTAAGTCTCTAGATCCAGTCACCATTTTGTAGGAAATAGAGAAGAGAGAGGAAGATGATAAACTATATCATGGAAATGTACTTTACAAAATCCTGAGGGGAATGTTATAAGATCTATGTTCTCAACATAAAAAATCTAAGAGAACAGAGGAAGACTGAAGAAAGGAAACTTGAAATTAAAAGAAACTTCTAAGACTTCTGTTTTTAGGGATGTATAGTTTTTAGTAATAAAACTAGTAAAATATAGTTTTTAGTAATAAAACTAGTAAAAGTAAGGCGTAAGCGATCACAAAGTCAGGACAAGGAGATTCAGGGAATACCTGGAAGGCTTCTGCAATGGCTGCAGGGTTTATTTTATCTCCTTTCATGGCTAATGAAGGTGTTTGTTGGCTTTATAATAAGTCACTGGGCTATATATTTTTTAAAATTATTTTTATTTCTTTCTTTCCCCCCCTTGTTGTATACTGTCGAATCAGATCTGACTGGCATAAGAGGAAATTTTTCCCTCCTTCTCCAGTGGAGCATCTGATGGATTTGAACCACATACCGGTTGAAGTGCAGCTTCTTGCAACTAGGCCACCAGAGCTTCCTTGGGCTATATTATTTTTATGCTCTTTTTCATATTTATATTAACAAGAAAAAACATAAATCAATAAAAATAATCTGAGAAACCTAGACTACATATTAAACAACAGAATAAGCCACTGGATTTCCAGTTTCACCATCTTATTTTATTACTTCATTACTCATAAATGTCATATGGAAATCACTGTGTGGGCACTTTACAGACATTATCTGTAATAACACTTAATCCTAAATGCTAGTCATTACTCTAAGTATTTAATATGCTAAGTTATTTAATTTTTACATGTATGTATGTTATTATCTCCACTTTATGGATAAGGAAATTGGGGTACAGACTGTTGATAACATGTATTAAAGAAAACACACACAGATTCAAAATCAAGAAAGCTGGTTCCAGACCTATGCATTCACCCACTCACTACACTGTATTACATTTTCAGTTTTATATTTAAGTCTCAAATATATTATTATCTCACCTGACACTAATAAAACAGGTCTGTGATATAGACAAGTATAATTATTGCACTCAAAAGGTGGGAAACAGGTTGCATATTTGGCCCAAGATCGAACAAAACCTGTGCTTAAATCATCTTCTCCAGTGCGCATAAAGCCATCTGCAATTCTCCACATCCCAGTAATTCAAACTAACACAGAAGTAATTTGAGATTAGCATTTCCTATTAAGACAGTTAAGCAAATCACAGAAGCATAAGAATAACAGCAAAGACAGAGTAAAACAGACGCTGCGAATAAAAGAAACAATTAAGCTTTTGGAAATTCTTGCTCAGGGAGGTTTTTCCTGTTACTAACTAGGCACACCCCAGGGAGAGTGAAAATAAAGCTTGCACTGGAAGAGCAGAAGGGAGAGAAGGTCAAGTCTGACTTAATTTGGATGAGGTAATCTACACAGTTAAAGTTTAAATTATTTCTAGGCAAAATAAGTTGGAAAGTTCTTTCTAATTAATTGACAATCTAGATCAACCTATTATACCATCTCTTAAAATTTTAAAAGATTATCTATCATATCAGCCACTGTTCTCATGCTTAAAATACATACAAAGAGTTTCTAGAGAGATGAATAGTAGAAAAAACTATAGGATAAGTATGATCTTCTTAGAATATCAAACATACACTAAGATTATTTTACAAACATCCTAATAATGGCTTAATATTGCGCTTAGTGCTTCTGTTCTATTTTCTAGCTCAATGGGTAACGATTTCAGAGAATCTTAAAAGCTTTCAAGCAGCCATTCAAAGTACAAATGGTCTCTATTCACGCACAGGGAAGGAGAAAAGTTAGGAATAGAAGGAAATAAGTATGTGACTAATTGCCTCCATGAACAACTGCTCTCTTTGCCATGAGATCAGAAGAACGGGATGGTGCCCTAACAAAGATTCTATAGAAGAATCCTAATCAAAAGAGGGAAAATAAACACTGTAATTTCAAATTATCACAGTATCTAGATTTTTTAGAGCTATGGAGGTTGGATGGATTCCTCAAACTATTGCCTTGTAAAAATCTTTAAGCATAAACCAAAAAAGATTTCCCCTGAAATCTTAAAAACAAATAATAGCTTAAATAGTAAAAAATGTCTGCCTTGAGCATTATGCTCTTTTAAGATCTGTATGAGATCAAATGGATAATAGCAAGTGAAAGGATAATACAGGAACTTTAGAGGACAGTGAATTTATGTTTATGGAAGAGAAATAATTCAGAAAGGTGGGGTAAGTAATGACAGTAAAAACCTGAAGGAGGTAATTAATGTTACTGAATTGTTTGTGTAGAAATCGTTCAATCCCTGTATGTTCTGTTGTATATATCCTCAAAAATAAAAATATAATTATGTGTCATTGATTATGACTTACAGCAACTTGATAAAAAAACAGCTCTGAACCCTCTCCTATCCTGTGCCACTCTAATCATCTCTGGCACACTTGAGCCCACTGCTGCAGTCACTGTGTCAATCCATCTCATTGAGGGTTTTCCTCTCTTTCAATGATGTTCCTAGAATGATGTCTCTTTCTAATGAACCTAGCAACCCTTCTAGCACCATGCACAAAGGATAAGAGACAAAGCTTTGTCACCCTTGCCTCTAAGCAACACTCTGGCTGCACGTTCTCTCTCAAACATATCTGTTATTTCCTTTGGCAGTGCATGGGATATTCAGTACTCTTCAACATTACAATTCAAAGGCATCAATTTTTCTTTTGTCATCCTTAATTCACTATCCCGGTCTCAGATGCACAGCAAGTGACCAAAAAGATTGGGTCCTGAATCAGGAGCACTTTAGTCTTCAAACTGACATCACTGTTCCTCAGTACTATGGAGAGATTACTGATAGCAGACTTTCCCTGGTGTAATACATTTTTTTATTTCTTAATTACTAATGACAAGCTAAAGGAGAAGGGTAGTAGGATGGGGAAAGAATTACATAACCAGTTGTGGCTGCGTACCTCTGAGTAAGAACCAAGCCACAGCTGACCTTCTGGTGGGTTTCCAAAGGCAGTTACTAAAACAGGAGATTGTCTATCCTTTTCCCGTGTACTCAAACTGTATGCCTTCAGGACTGTAGCACAGCTTCTTGCTACTAGGCCACCAGAACTCCCTACATAACCAGTACTAACTTAAATATTTATATAAGGAAAACAAACATACAGTAGAGAGTATATATCACATGAATTGTTAAGATAAAATACAAGATTACCAAGAAATTCCTGTTTGTAGCACTAATTTCAAATAATCGCATTTGTTAACCCATTAACCCACTCTTGGAAGAAAGGTCTGGCAAATGATTCCCAAAAATAATCAGCCACGGAAAACTCTACAGAGCATAGTCTGACTTTGATTTTCACTAATTTGCCAAGAGTCAGTCAACTCCATGATGTGACGGGACCAGGGGTGGTTGTGGGCCCAAAAACAAATTTTTGTTTCCTTTGCTGTTACACACAGTGAATTCAAGTACTTCATGAAAGAACGGCCTAACAAAGGATTTTCTCTCTTTTTCTTTTTAAACTTTTTTAAATTGTGATTTGAGTTAAGTTTTATAAATTAATTTTCACTCAACCAATGCTCTTTAATTTCAATAACACAACATACTCACACTTTTTCACAAGTTTCTCTTGGCTATACAATGGATTGAGGCTCAATGTCAAGAAGACAAAGATTCTCACCACTGGACCAATTGGCAGCATCAGGATGGATGGTGAAGAGATTGAGATTGTTCACAGCCTTCAGTTTGCTTGGCTCCACAGTCAACACTCTAGGCACCAGCAGTCAGGAAATAAGAAGGCGTATTGCCATGGGAA